TTATATCATAAAGTGCCAGCCGACCCCGGCCAACTTGCAAAAGCATTTGCCTGCTTTTCTCTGAAAATGCCAATAACCTGCCCAAGAATCTTCCAGGCAAAGCGTTGATATCAATGGAGGCTAACTTAGTCCAAGAGCTCGCAACTCCATAATCCTTCATCAACCATACATCCCATGCTTTCTCTCGCAAGCAGAATGAAGAAAGGCGACCATTCAAGGAACAAAGGTTCCCGCGATTCATACTTTTGTTGCGGATTTTGGGAGCAGGGATCAAAAGTTATCTTCCGAAATTCTTCACTTCCAAGATCAAATGCAACGATGAAGTTACCATCAGTCATAGGCCAGTGTAATACACCTTTAACAACGGCACAACTTGGACCATGAAATGAGCTGAGGCCTTTGCGCCGCGGGTCAAATAGCACGGTGTCCTTTATTCTCTTCCATGAGTTTAGCTTCAAACTATAAACGCACAAATCACAGTTAGTGATGCTAAACTGACGAGGATGCACCCATTTCACCACTTTGTAGTCGTCGTTTTTGTGGTCGTATCCAAATGCGGTGCAAGGCCAAAAATCTTCTTTTCTTGCAAAAATTTGTGGTACTATGGAGTACTTATTGATCCAGGGGTTCCATAGAAGATTACGTGTGACATCTACTAGGATTTTATCAGAGTTAAGGCCGAACTCCGACTTCAAGTGTTGGTTAATGTTAGGGCTCTTCAAGTATGGGTGGGATTAATTAGTTTTGAGGCTTTTAGGTGAATTAATTTACCCACTCGCGTGGCAATTACTTCAACAATCCACCGCTCGCCCAACGCCCAAAATGTAATAATTTTTGTGAAGAAAATTTGTAAGGAAAATATACACGAAATGAATCATAACCGTGCATAGTTTAAACTCACATTTAAATATTTATTATTCATTTAAGAGTTAAAGGAGAGTGAAGATTCAGCCATACATCATCCCCTCTTAAAATTTTCTGTAAATTTTCCCTGCATGTATCATCCCCTCTTAAAATCTAAAAAGCAGTCCACTGTTTCGCGATCCTCTGCTGAGTCTGAACATCGTGCTATTGCAATTGCTTTATCTGAAACTGTTTGGTTGGAACACCTTCTTTCTGAGCTTCACATTAAGCTTCCCAGATCATCTGTCATCTTGTGTGATAATGTCTCTGCTGCCTACTTGGCAATCGATCCTGTCTATCATGCTAGAACTAAGCATATTGAGATGGATATTCATTTTATTCGTGATCGTGTTGCTGCGGCCTTCTCTCTGTCTTACATATTCCGACTCAGTCTTAGCTTGCTGATGTCTTCACAAAGTCCTTACTGAAAGATAAACTTTATTTGTTTAGAACCAACTTAGGCATGATTCCTCGTCTTGCTACGATTGTGGGGGGATGATAGAATGTGTAGTTAAGGAAAATCAAATTAGGATTTCCGTGGTTAACGGCTAGGGTTTCTATATCATTGCCTATATATACCATGAGAGAAAATATTTCTTTTAAGAGGTGTCGCCAATTGTTCCACTTTAACCGCACAAGACCAACTTTTTTTTCTTTTGAAGAATCCGATAAAGCACTAACAAATCTAGCTCAAATTCCTTGAGTTGTTCATGTTTTCCACCAGAGCTTCATTGAAAATGCTTGAATCATGTTCTCGAGACTCTGAACGCCTAAACCATTTTCGAGAACAGGATAAGTCAGCTTATGTCAAGCTAGCCAGTGACGCTTTGGTCCTTCTTCAGTATATCCCCAAAGGAAATTCTGACATTTCTTCTCAAGGCTTTCTATGATGGATTTGGGGGGAACAATTTCCGCTATGGTATGAAGGGGATTGCCGACAAAACATGTTTAATCAACAGCAAATGGCCACCTTGCGACAAGAAATGATTTTTTCAATTCTGTAGTTTAGCATCAAAAGCTTCCAGCAAATGATTGAAATACTCCACTTTTTTCCTGCCCTTGAATAACTTGCAGCCCAAATACATGAAAAGAAATGTACCTCTTTCCATTTGGAGATTATCCTCAATGAGGGAAATGCGATCCATCGAGCTTTTATCCGAGACAAAAAGAGTGCTCTTCCGTTTATTCATTTTCTGCCCAGTAGCATCTTCGTAGTCTTTGGAAAAAACTCATCAACTGATGCATAGATTTTTACAATCCTCTCGTAAAAATGATTAGGTCGTCCGCAAAACACAAATGAGAGGAAACAACCGCCCTTGCTGGAACTCCATAAGATGCTAGTCGGCCAACTTCCGTTAGTTTTTTCAGGTTTCGAGTCAAAACTTCCGATAATAAAATAAAAAGATAAGGCGAAAGAGGATCGCCTTACTTTATATCTCGTGAAGCTTGATGTCAAAGCCGGCATGAATGATTTGCAAAAATTTTAAATTTTTATAACTTTTTGATTGATACCAATAAATAAAAAAAATTCAAATCAACATCAAACGTTAAAATAATAAATGTTTAATTGTTCAATAGATTTTTGGATCACATCTAGTCGTTAGTCGGGTTTAAAGAAACCGACGAAGAAGTATAACCTGCAGTGCACAATATTAAATTCGGTTATCTTCGCAGTTCTAAAATTTTCGTTAAAGCTTCATTCAATTTCATGCACTGCTCCTAAAATTTGCATCCCGCTGGATTTACTTTATCAGTTTTGCTTAGTTCTTCTGATTTCTTTGACATTTTGCGCACTATCTGGGCCCTTTATCGTGTCGTGTCCTCTTTTCTTTTGTTGCATCCAGAAAATGGAGAAAGGGTAACAATCAGAGAGAATAGAATCATGAACAAGGACCAGTCGGCTCAATGGGACACATTTTTCGCGTTGTAGTACTTACAGAAGACTAATGAAATGATATAACACATTAGTTCTTTTTTCTTTTGCCAAACTTTCTCGTCGCTCCAAGTAGAACAACAATTCTACACAAATATAATTTGAAAGCAAAAAAGTAAATATCTTGTGACTCTTACTTTGAAACAAATAATAATAATAATAATAATAATAATAATAATAATAATAATAATAATAATAAGACATATGAAAATTTAATGGTCAAATTTCATATATATTTGGGGCATAATGCTTCAAACTCTCTTGGTAAATTGATCATTCTAGTAAGTCGGAATTTCAATAAAATTGCAATTTTGAACAGATGAAGAATATAGTTTAGTTTCATAAAAAAAGGAACTGGGAACAGTGATGACTGACGATATCATTCGTTAGGAATGACACTCAAGCTGAAGACATCCAAATTGCTATTGATTTCACAAGAAAATTTCCGATGAGCACAAATGGATGGAAAAGTTGATTAAAAAAAATTAGAATGTAAAAAGTGATTTCGTGGAGTTCTTGGAATTGATGGCATGCATATAACAGGATCGATACCAACTCTGAAGAACAACTTAGTTATCAAAGCTTTTGAGTTCTTCGATATTAAGGAATAAGGATCAAAGTGGCTTAATTTCCACTGCTCAGCTCTGCAATCTAATGACGAGCCTTGGGTACAAAATGACTGTTGAAGAAGTGATGAGATGAGATGATATAAGGAAGCAATAAATTATTGATGGTAATGGTCAAATCAATTATAAGGCATTTGCTACGAAGATTTCTTCTACGTTATCATGGTTGTGCATCTTTCTGGGAATATTGTAAAGCTAGTTTCTGAAATTTAATTTGGGTTTGTTGTTAGATTCTTTGAAGGGTTTAAATTTTCGGACGTAACAGTTTGAAGAAGAAAAACTGGTAAATTATAAGGATCTTATACATTGTAGTATTTTATGTTGTTCATTCTCATAATGCATTAATAGGTCTGTGTAATCAGATTCGTTGATGGTTTTTGTATGACTTTTACGATGCAAAGACAAGTTCATATTGTATTCTCTCTATCCGGAATTTATAAAAAAAAAATATTCCCCTTGTCCTAAAATTATTGTCCACTTTGGGTTTTTCTTTTTAGTTCAATTTGTACTAAAACTGAAACTCCAAACTGTACAATAATTATGGGACGGAGGGAGTAATAATTTTAGTATAGAAAACTAAAATACATAATGGTCATCTTCCCAAATAAATGTATTTTGCCCGATAGAAGTAAAACTCTAGCTACTTTCGCAACCGTAAAAAAGAACAAAAAAAGGTTTGCTTCCGCATGGTCGAATGGAAGAAGGAGCAACGCATTCTTCTCTCTGGGGTGAAAAATCTTTTCTTTTATCAATTAATTCTTCCTTAGGCATTTTAATGCTTGATTTGTTCTCTTTTACCCTTTAACATTTTTTTTAATATGATTCATTAATAATAAACGTGATTTATGATTAAGATTTAAAAATATAATAACAAATTAAGAAAAGTAATTAAAACCAATGATCATTTACATTGTCAATAGCTAAGCTAAATAAATCTTTTGAGATCAATTATTGTAAAAAAATTTTGGTATGCAGTATATATAGAGAAAAAAATATTCCGAACAAGACAAATAATCATATCTTCATTTCCATGATCAATAACACAACTTAATTAATTGCTAAAAATAAATTAAAATGGCACAATGCAGCTCCTAATCATCATCCATCGACCGGTCATGAAATTGGTTTTTCTTTTCTTTTTTTTTTTTCATTCGTAAACAAAATTAGGCTAATTTTGAATTTATAATAAAATGGAGAAAAAACCATTCACATTAAAAAATGCTGCCCCTAATCCATCGAATTGTCTAGAAATTAAAGTTGTTCATAAATTTAACAAAATCCAGGGACAGAATTATAATTACAAAAGACTCCTATAACCGTTTTACTGAATTCGTTATTTTGTTACTAGCGGTTACTCGGTGTTGACTGAATTGTATTTTTTTCTCTCCTTTTTCTTCTTCTTGTTCTTCTTCAGTTCATCCTCTATATATACATTCACCATCCAAGCTTCTGTATTCTTTTCGCAGCTTTATTCCAATTGATTTTTGTTTCATAAACTGCTTCTAAAAATCTGCATTCCACACATAATTTAGCTTTGAGTTTCCCCAGTTTGTTCCCTTTGATTTTCTTCAACATTTTCCCCGATTTGGGTTCTTTTTCGTTTGCTCTGTTCTTCCGTTGCATCAAGAAAATGGATAAAGATAATCAGCAGAAGGAAGGAAATCGAGGAAAAGCACCAACAGGATCAATGGGGCGCCAAGATTTTTCAAGCAATTATCCTCCTGTTAATCAAGACCAAAATGTCTATAACAACCCTTCTGAAGTTCATCCTGGTGGTTCTCTGATTGATGATGATGATGGCGGTTATGATTCCCAGGGTAACCTAAAGAGGAGAAGAGAAGAAGCTGTTTGTGATGATTCTTCTGCTGGGTCGAAGAAAAGTATGCTTTCCATTGCTGTTGATTGGGAAAATACTGCTGGCTCGAAATATATAAGGGGTTTGGCTCGCCGCCTTGGTTTGCTAGATGATGGTAATAATTTATGAACTAACACCCTTTTTCTTGAATTTAGATCCACTTTTACGTGAATCAATTGCAGTTTTCAGCGACCCATTTCATTAATGCTGTAAAATTTGCTTGTTAAAATGAATGGAAGTTGTAGTAGAGTTCTTTCTGGATAATTTGTTCTGAATTCTTTCAATTAAATTCTTGCAGGAAGTAAAATCCGCCCAATTTCTCATCCTGGTGATTCATCTTCTTCTCAGATTCTCCCTGTTTCACAGAGCACAGGTATTTTTTTCTTGTTCCTCGTTACATTATCTGTTATACAGAGCATGAATTTTGGTTTCCGCAGGATTTTGAGTCCTTCTTTTTAATCTTGGAATTATCTTGGTCCAAGCAGATATCCGTTCTTCTAATGATCCGCTGGTTGATAATCTTCGCCGAGAAAAGGGGAAGATGCCTGTGGAAATGAGTACTGATTCAGGGCAATTTACAGAGGCCCAGAAAGATGAGTTACAAGAAGCTTTCTCAAGCTTTGACAAAGACGGTGATGGTAGTATCACCCCAGATGAACTTGGATCGTTGATGAGATTATTTGGATTGAATCCCAGTGAAGCTGAAGTTGGAGATATGCTCCAAAAGGTTTCTACTGCCAGGAAGGAAAGACTTGCTGCTTTCAACATACATGATGTTAGTCCTGATGATCAGAGTGTAAAGATTGATTTCATGGAGTTCCTGGAATTGATGAAGCAGAAAACCACTGATTTGGAGTTTGAGTTTTTCAACCAAATAGACGAGGACAGAGATGGTTATATCAGTACAGATCAACTGATGAGAGCATTGGTAGAGATTCAGATTCCCATTGTTGCTGAGGTTCAGGGCATGATGAATCAGGTAAATTCTGAGCTGGGAGGAAAAATTGGTTTCAATGAGTTCGTGAAATTGTTGGACCAAATCTTTGAGATTACAGCCTCTGAGGAAGAACTTATAAAAAGTTTTGAGGAATTTGACAAGGGCAAAAAAGGCTTCATTTCCGCTGCCGATCTCCGCCATGTGATGACCACCTATGGGGATACGCTGACTGATGAAGAAGCTGATGAAATGATAAAGGAAGCTGATCCTGATGATACCGGTATTATCGACTATAAGGAGTTTGTGAATAAGATGTGTGGCAAACAGTAATGGACTAATGGCTAATGCATCTTATGTGGGTCTTTTCCTGAGGTATTTGCTTACTGACACAAACATGACAACTTGACAAGGAGAAATTGAGTAGCTTTTGGATGGTGTTTTTCTTTTTCTGGTGCTGGTGAATTCTTTGATGAGCTTGAAGGAAATTGGAAGCTTCATGTGTGGATTCTTCTGAGCTTACAGAGTCTTGTACTGACTTCTGATTAGGTCTTCTGTTGTTCATTCATTCTTTCATGCTGTAGGCTTTTTTTCTGTTCAGCTTTATTCATTCGTTTGATTAGGTCTCCTGTTGGTACTTTACTAATGAATTTTCATGGTTGTTTTACAATTCTTAATCTCAGAATTGCTCATGATTCCAAACGATCTGATCTTCAAGTCTCTAGTCCTTTTGCATAGTTGATATATACAAGTTCTCACTTTAAGGCTTGGAGAGAGATCTCACTTTTTCCTTCCTGTTTTGGATGTAAAAAGAGAGCTCAAATTGTTGATTTAAGATTCGAGCTTGAAGGAACACTAACTTCAATGTTTGGACATCAAACTTCATTGTTTATCAATTTGAGCCGTACATGAAATCGTCCAATAAATCTAAAAATTATTTTTATATCAACAAATTTTATGTACATTTAACGCAATGACCAGTTCCATCGTTTAATTATAAATGAGCATTTTGCCATTTCAAGAAAACATCTTTGTAATGTTTTGTAACTATAAGCAAAACAGGAGTGATGTACACTGTCTTTTCCCGTATGCATATACATTTGTCCCCGGAGCAATATTTAGTGCAAATTGAGTTGGAAGCTCCAAGTCTAAAAACTGTAGTAGTAATTATAACAATAAAAAAAATTTTAAAAAAAAGATTGATGACAATCACACATGTAGAAATTCAAATTCATTGTTATTAGAATTAAAATACCACAACAAAGTAAATGATTAAAATGGGGGTGAAAATGAGCAAAATAGTCAAACAAGGTGCGCAAAATATTTTGGCAAATTGACATTTTAAACACTAAAATCAGCAGCAGCACCACTAACACATATGCTAAAAGGCTAACAACACTTGAGCAGCAGCAATTCAAGCTCTTGTAGTGCTGTAAACCCAGATTACAATGTGTTTTTTATCCAAAAGCACAAAAGTTCAATCAAGCTGAAACATATCATCAAGAATTGCAGATCACAAACTTTCAGTAAATTTAAGGCCACTGGAGTTCCATCGACAAAGATATTTAGGCCACTACAAACAAGTGAAGATCTCTATGATCAGTGAGATTTGGATTTCTAAAAGTACAAACAATGGAATTCAAGAATTCAACAGCAGAAAACCTATCAGAAATCCAGTAACTCTGCAATGCAACATCAAGTAACAAAACCCAAAAAGCTACTCAAACTTTTCACCACCATGACTATATATATTAGGGATAAAACTTCTTCACATACTTTGCATAATTGATTCGACCAGTACCCTCTGGATCTTCTTCCCTTATTATCTCCTCGATTTCTTTATCAGTCATCTCCTCATCATCCTCCAGGATCTCACGGAACGTAGCGGCGGAAATGAAGCCACTGTTACCTTGATCAAAGAACCTAAAAGTCTCCAAATGTAGTTCCTCCTGGTTTTGTCTCAACATTTTCATGAACTCGTTGAAATCAATTCTTCCTCCCTGTTCAGGGTTGACCTGATTGACCATACTTTGGACTTTAGCATGAGTATAGAACTGACCCAGTGATTTCAGCGATTGCCCGAGTTGATCTCTGGTAATGTAACCATCTTTGTCGTCGTCGAACTGGTTGAATGCATCTCTGTACCTCTTCCTCTCCTCCTCGATGAATTTATCTAAATCAACTGTCAGAACCGAAAATTAAACCCGTATTCAGTTCTAAAATCAAATCAAAGATTCAAAGCCCAGAAATAATCAAAAGTTCATGATCTGCAAAACAGGGGATTTCTTAGCAACCAGAAAGAATTTGTACAACTACCAGTCTGTTTTTAATAGCAAATATAATGCTGTAGAGATTGGAAGGCTATTAATTTAGAAATTGATTAATGAAGAGAACTGTATCAAGAAAAAGTTATTGATTGTTGGAATTACCAGAATCTTGAGATGAAGATGCATTTCCATATTGCTGCGGACGCGGGGGCAGCCAACCACGGCGGCGAGCATGTTTCCATATTGCTTTTTTCTTCCAGATATCAGAATCAAGACGCCTTAGTACTTCTCTTACTGTGAATAGCATCTTCTCGTTTGATTTATCATCAGTCGGGGCAACAGAATGTACGTCAGAAATGTGGATACCTGTGAAGGCCAAGATAAACATCATTGTTTAGTTCCATGTTTAACAAAAGGCTCAAAATTCATGCTTTGGAATTGCAGAGAACGGTGAAGAACAAAATCAATACCTGTGCTCTGTGAAACAGGGAGTTCCTGAGGAGCAGAGGATGCCTCAACAGGATGATGATAACTTGGGCAGGATTTACTTCCTCCTGTGAGAATGAAATCAAATATTAATTTACAACAAATCATCCATAAATTAATAACATTAACCACGTACAACTTCCATTAATGTAACAAGCAAATTTTACAGTTTTTTTTTTTTTTGATGAAACAGGACGCTGAAAAGTGATCCAAATTCAAGAAAAAGGTTACCATCATCATGACTCGGAGATTCCACTAACAAATCCCTTATAACATTCGAGCCAGCAGAATTTTCCCAGTCACCAGCAGCGGCAAGAATAATTGTCTTTGACCCAGCAGAATGTCCAGAAACAGTTTCTGGATTAAATTGAAATAATTCAGAACAAATCAGAGCTATTACGTATAACTTCCATTAATTAACATCACAAGCAAATCTTCTACTCTTGAAATGAGACGCCAAAAAACAATAATTCATTGATGAGAAAACTGTTTTCAAGTTCAAGAAAAGTGGTAATTACCATCATGTATCGGATATGACTCGGGCAAACCCAGGCGGAGAGTTAAGTTCATTCTGACATTCGACCCAACATCATCTTCCCGATCACCTGCAGCGGCATTAGTGATTTTCTTCGACCCACTTGAATCAAAATCAACAAATTCAGATCTTTTTCTCTTTAGGGTCACCGAGGAACCATAACCGCCATCATATTCGACATTAAGATCAATTCCTCCTGATGTCTTTTCCGATTCATCATCAATATGAGCACCACCAGGTTGTATCTCTGAAGGGTTCTTGGAGACATTTTGATCTTCATTAACTGCAGGATTATTGCGTGACGAATCTTGTTGTCCCATTGAGGCTTCTGATCCTTGTTCTTGCTTTCCTTCCTTCTTCTCATTATTATCTTTATCCATTTTCTTGATGCAACGAGAAAACAGAGCACACAAAGAAAGAGCGAATAGTACAAAATGTTGAAGAAATTAAAGGAAACGAACTGGACAAAACTCGCAATGAATTCTGTAGGCTAAAGAGTTTAGGAGATTTGGATGAATGGGAATGAATGTGTAACAAAACTCTGAGGACTACAGCAACGAATTTCAATCGTGAATCTATATGATGAACTGAAGAAGAAGAAGAAAAAGAGTATAAGAGAGTCAAGGCCTAAGCAGCTTTCTTTGACTTTCCCACAGTAACTGCTAGTAACAAAATAACCAACCCGGTTAGCGGCTAGGAGTCCTAGTAATTACATATCTGCCCTTTCATTTTAATGAAAGCACAAAATAAACCATTGAAATTGATAGCTCGTTGGTTTTAGTGGCTTTGTTAATTGATCCATTAGGCCAGTTGTCATTTGTAAAGTTACTATTTACAAAAATATAAACTACCTTCGTCTAGTAAACTCATGTTTGTTGTACAAAAATAATTTAACTAAGACTACTATTATATAAGAGGTGAGAATATTATGTTATTCAGGGGAATGAAATAAAAAATTTATAGATAGAACTAGTTGTCGAATCTTCTTATAAATATATAACGCAAATGAAAATCATACGTTTACATAGTTTTATTGGTTAGTTGAAAAATAGTTTTATTGTTTAGTTGAAAATAGCTTCGACTTTCGAGGGGGAATATCGGTGAAGGCCGTCATTTACTAATTTTGATTATAAAGGCTATTCTGATCGATGAGCCCTAGTATGTACGGCAATGTGTAGAAAGATCGGAAAAATAGTAGTAACCTAACTAGTGTACTGCCGATGGTAACACAAATATATCACACAAAATCTTATGACAAAATGTAACCTTTGAAAAATAAGAGTGATTTAGAGAGACTCTACCACTTTTATTATTTTCAAATTAACAAGGACGAAATCTCAAACATGGATTTGCATTGTGTCAAAATAAATCCCCATATTCATCATTTCAATCTTATAACATATACATACCCCTTTGCTTGCATCAAAGATTGACTAGTATAACTATCACCATTGAATCAACTATAAAAGAAATGAAAGAGTCATTTTTATGAGTCCTGGGTTGTAAAGAGAAGAGATGGTGGTAAAATATGTGTTGTATTGATACGGATACAAGATATTCATACAGATTATGTTGGCTTAAAACCCTAATCGCAAAAATAACTATCTAGCTATTTACAATTTACATCTTTTAGGTTGAGCAATAACCGAATAACTCTCGGTTCCGCTGGCTGTCTTGGGAGTCGGGATCCTCTCCACCCCAAATGACCGGCTCGCGACGCATCCCAGTATTGAAGCAAAATTTTCTATGATACAAAGAAATTTTCTTAAAATACAATGAATTTCTGGTTCATCTACTTCTTCTTTGACTTATCTAAGTCGACCACAAAGTTGAAGCAAACAATTTCCAAAAAGTTAAACATTTATAACTTTTGATTGATACTATATAAATTAGAACATATTTCAAATCAACAGAAAATGTTAAAATATCCAATACTAATTAGATTTTTATATTACATCAAATTGTTGGTTGTGTTTAAGAGGCCGATGAACAAGTATAAAATGGAATACATGATATCAAATTTGATCCGCTTCAACCTCATCATTCATGCATGGTATATTGAAGCGAAGAATTACTATTAGTTGTCCTATTTGCGCCCAAATCACATTTATTCAGGCGTTTCCCTACTAGTTTGGGGAATTCTTTCGTCACTCATAACGAGTTTATAAAATCACAAAAATTTATGATCAAAAAGCCATATATATGCCATTTGATGGTCTGCTTCAAATACTCAAGCCGCATTATAAAACCATAACGTAATTCTGCATTTCGACCGGTACTCTGAAGAAGAAACAAAATCAAAGTAAGAAGAAGCAGGTAACACTAATAAGATTAACCCCTAGAATCATTCATGACGAAATCAGCAGCAACATATATAAAGGCCATTCACTAGCAAAAACAACTCAATACATCTTCTACGTACGAAGTACTACTACCAGGAATCGAAACATCGAAAGAATGCATAAGGGTTAACAAGACCGCCAACACAATCGTAAGGAGTGATACATAATCTGCTGCCATTTATGGTTACATCCAATGTTTGTAGGATCGTGATCCTACGTAGGATCAAAATGGGTCATATGATCGGATCGTAAATGGAATCGGTATGTACGAAATAGTAGGATCGTAAAATTAATTATACATGTTGTATAATTAATTACTTTGATAATGTAGTTACAATTATCTTTAGATAAAGTATTTAACATTTAAACAAAAAGAAATGTGTAAATTCAATTTTCTTATATCAATTTTTGCATAACTTTTTAATAAAAACTCTTCTCTTACCGTTCTTCTTTTCATTTTATTAGAAAAACTTTCTAAAATACATTTTTCTTAGCAATAAAAAGTTTTCTCAAAGAATATTAGCCTCAATTGAATGTGAACAAAAAAAATAAGAGAAAAAAAATCTCAATAAGCTCAATTAATTTTTCGTAATTGATGAATAATAACTCGGACCTATCTTACGATCTTGATCGATCCTTTACGATCCTGACCGATCCTAATCAATCCCACTCCAATTCATGCAAAATTCGAGTTTAATCGATCTAGGATAGATTAACGTAGGATCACGAGTTTGCAAACTATGGTTACATCTGTGAATGTGAATGAGAAGTCCTCAGTATCATAAACTGAAAACTCTTAGTCGCGAACTCGAAACAGCACTTTCGTCTTCTTTGCCTTTGAAAATGCAACTGGCCTAAGTCTAAGACCTGGATTTTGCATAAGAAAAGTTAACTCAATGGAGGCTATCTTAGTCCAAGATTAATTTCCAACCCCATAATACTCCATCAGCCATAAAATCGCTTCCGACATTCCGGTCGTATTGTAAATGGAGAGACAACTAAGGCGACCATTCAAGGAACAAACCGTCTATGGTTTTCCCTTATACCGCCATGGATTTGTCGATCCGGGTTCTGCGCTTATCCTCCGAAACTCCCCGTTTCAGAGGTAGAATGCAACAATGGAGGACTCCTCAATCCAGTGTAACACACCATTAACAACTGCGAAATCTTTAAACGAGCGGTGTGATCCTTCTTTCCTCACTTCAAGTGGTAATGATATGTCCTCCACCATTATTCTCCTCCATGAGTTCGTCTTCAAACTATAAATGCAAAATTCGCAAATTGATCTAGGCTCCCCAAAGATACTGCAGTTCACCACTTTGTAATCATCGCCTCTGTGATCGTACCCGAATGCTGCCCCGACTCTAGAAATGTAATGCCAACGACTTTCTCTTTCTCTAGATTCAAACGGGAAAGAAGGCAGTACAAAGTACTTATGAATCCAGGGGTTCCACAATACAATGTAATCTTTCTGTCTATTTGATATGCAAAGCATCCCGTTGGAAGATCCCACGATTTCAGGGCTTGATCCCTTGATATCATGGCGCCACGCCGAGAAATCTAGACGGGGGGTTTTCAACATCTTGGCGCGCGCCGCCTTGTGGTTGTTACCGCTGCAGTCGCCGCCACCAGCGCCGCCGTCTTGTTTTTGAAGCCAATCAATGGCGTAAAACTTTCTTCCCACATTGGTAATTACTTTGCTCTCTGATGGACCGATTTTTGAAAAATCTGGTCCACATGAGAATGGGCCGATCGCAGCACGCACTTTAATGGAGGAAAAATCAGTTTGAAGCCTGCTTTGGTTAAAATTCATGGATGCAACAGAGAGCGAGAAAGCCGAATCCAAAAAGGAGTCAATGACGCTGCAGTCCATATTAAAGAAGGATTCCAGCTGCAACAGAAATCCTTGCGAAATTCGACTTCTGTTGCAACGTAGTTAGGGTTGGTGGAATCTGTATAAAAGCTATGAAGGAAGCACCGGGAAGGGGAACTCATCATCCAAGAATCAGAAATCATATTTTCTTTTATAGCTATGTTCTTCGCAATTTTAAGCTTTTATGTATTCGTTTATGTTTCAGCTTTAAACATTGTAATCATTTCGACGATTCAGGCTATTCAAAGCCGATTCGTATTCATTCAATCAATAAAACAGACTCTGGCAAGCCATTTTATCCATTTCTTAGAATTTCTCATTATTCAGTTGAGTGCCAATTCAAAGGCATCATCCTGTTTAAGACAATTTCAGCGTTTGGTTTACACACTTTGAGAATATCACGCGGTCGCTTGAAATTAGTTTGAGCCAAATCGGTTTCCACTATAAAATACAATTTTGACTCAAACATAAAATTTGGCACGCCCAATGGGACCGATTTGCATGTTCCAAGCGTTGTTTAAGCAGAAAAACGATGTCATTACCTCAGTCATCAGCAACAACGCATTCGGCAGGATAGGGCTCTATACCGATTCAGACTTCTGCATCAGGTGGGAGTTCCTTGCCGATGAATACGCTTCCAAACATTTCGGTGGTGGATTTCTATTCAACAGAAATAACATATCAGTCCACTGGGATAAGGAAACAATCTAGCCAGCAACAGTCCAATGTGGGATCAGGTCTGTTTGGAGAAAGATTGAGTTATCTCGGGTCCTATAGAAGTCCAGAGTTTCAAACTCCAGCCTTTCAGAGCCCGTTGTTTCAGGTTCCTGTGTTCAGTATCCAGGGCCAAACGAGTCAGGTTCCAGGGATAACCCCTGAGATGTTGCATCAACGATTTTCAGAAATAGAGCATGCTATGGCTACACAAGTGGAGCGTTTTGAGGATACTTTTCAAAGGCTAATTGACCATAATTCAAATACAGGAAGTGCTGCACTTAGTAGATCTATGACGCCAGGAGTTAATACGGCTACAGGAGCAGCAAGTTCAGATGTGCCACCAGTCAGTATGGTTAATAATCCTTTATATCATGCAATATTCCAGACATCTGCAACAGATACTCCGGTGCAGAATCTCGGAGCGGGACCAAGTAACAATGGATCTCACAACGCAGCATTACAAGGAATACAAAGTTGGTATTACCCAGTTGTTCCAAGTCAGCCAGCTTTTGTGTCACCACCAGGGAATTTTACTTTTGATGGACGGCAATTGCCTCCATTGTCTCCTCAATATGGCACACCAGTGATGATTCTTGGAATGTCATGGGGGCAACAATTACCCTATCAAAGATTCCAGGCGCAATGGCCGGTGACTCCGGGAATGCAACAGGTGGGAAATGCAACAAATAATACTCTTGCAAGGAATGCGCAAGAGACGAATCAATTTCAGTTGCAAAATGCTGCATTTCCACAGCAAGTTTTACCAATGCAACATCAACAAGGATCAGTGGTGGTCCTATCGCAACTGAATGGACAAGAAGGTGCGCCAAGACTAATGTACATACCACTGGGAACAGCAGGTGTAGGTGTCCAAGGAACTGCGGGTGTAACAATCAATCAGGGCCATGATGGTACGGGAAACAATCAAGGTGTTGTTAGTGAAAATGCAAGGCGGGCTGGTCAACATGTACAAGCGACCAATGACCACCGCTTTATATTATATCAGAACCGAGTACCAGGAAATAATACTGCAGCTGGAAATTTAGATGATCCACACATACCTCAAGGCTCTGGTGTTGTGGTTGCTGATCCACAAATTGCTCCACCTCATCAAACATTGGAAGAGAATAGAGAGGAACAACAGTAGATGGAATACGAAGCAAATCAGATTCTGAACCGAAATAGGGCGCAAGCTATTGGAAGACATATCGGAAACCAGAATTTGGGAAATAGACACAACCCACGTCACCAGCGTTTATGGGGCCAAGGAGGTGGTCGTCATCGGGTTGATCTTGGTAACGAAGTTCGATAAGAAGCGGATGCAGCAGCGAATGATAATCAGCAACAGAATTTTGAGACATGTGTTGATCAGACTTTAAATGCTAAGGATGCGTTTTCAAGAATGATAGAAGACAAGATCCGTAAGGAGCTGGGCACAGAAATTCCAGAGATTCCAGGAAAGCCATATCCCGGCTATGTTGAATGGGAGCCATTGCCAAGGAATTTTTAGATTCCCGATTTTCAGCAATTTTCAGGAGAGGATGAGAAGAGACCTGAAGACCATATAAGTCTGTTTGAATTGCAGTGCGGGTCAGTAAGCAACAATGCTCTAATCAAGTTGCGTTTGTTCCCTTATTCTCTAAAAGGGACCGCTTTTTACTGGTATCGATCATTAGCACCAGGTTCTATCTCGTCATGGGAAATGCAGCAGCGAGAATTCTTGTCCTACTTCCGTAGGGATACCACACGATTGTCAATCGTTGATCTTTCAGAAATTCGACAGAAGTTTGGAGAAGCTGCGGAAGCTTACTTGATACGCTTTCGTCAAATGTATGCCAAGATCCCAGATAAGTATGATGAGCCAACTATTTTCAAGATGGCAACTGCTGGAATTCAGGATTACAAAGTCAAGTTGGCTGTCACACCATATTCTGTTCGATCCTTGAATCATTTGGCAGATATTGTAAGAAGATGTGAGAAAGTCATTAAAGATAAAAGGGAGAAGAACCCGGGAAAGACGAAGCATTGGTTCAACAAAGCTCCAGTAGCAGAAGTGAATCAGAGTCAATGGGTTCATGATGAGGACAACGATGAATACGAGGTTAATGCTGCTGAAATCGTCAATGTCCGTAACTACACGTATGACGCATTACGTCGCCCTATAGTTCCACATTCTTATACTACTCCCCCACCGGTAGGTGCACCGGCAGGCACCTCAGGGCAACCTGACGGAGCTAACGTTGGTAGAGTATATTCTTTCGACATATCACAACAAGAGGCCATTTTTGATGACATGTTTCAGAAAGGCCATATTCAGTACAGAAGGGGATATAGACAACCAAAGCCAGCAGATCTAGTTGGAAAGACGTATTGTAAATACCACATGTCATGGACTCACACCATAAATGACTGTGTGGTGTTTCGGAATAAATTTCAAAAGATGATTGATGATGGCAATGTGGTAGTAGAGGATCCAGTTGAAAGAAATGTCAATCCTTTCCCACCACAACACCAGGCTCGAATGGTGAATGTAGGATTCGGAAGTCATTCCTCTGACACATGTTTAGTCACTGGTTGTGACGATTGTGACAAAGTATATAATAAGGTCAAGCAACAGCTGCAAGAGCTAGGATCTAAATTCAGAGGCCATTTACATCGACATAATACACGTCCATCTGCATTAGAAGTGAATATAGTGATATATGGACAGAAGTAGACATGGGTACAAAAGGAAACACGTTTAGATCCGGAGCAAGAGAAACTAAGAGCTGTGTCAGATGCAATCTTGAATGCTTTGAACCAAAATCAGCAACAGAGTTTACAACATCAAGGTTTGCATACAGAAGTTCTTCCGACGCAGCAACGAGTGCCCGTCCATAGAAGATTGGGGAATACCATTGTTAACCCTAGGGCTAACTCACCATATCAAGTTCATAATACAAGACCATCAGTGTGGCAACGGATTCAGTGTCCCAGCCAAAGGGACAATACCAAGCCCAGGTCAGTCAGAGCAGCACCCGTGAATGATACAGAATGGCATTGCGTTGTTCATCCCAAGTTCCCTACTCCACCATTAAGGAAAGAAAAGATGACTAGGACGCAGAAACAACGATGGCAGAGGGTTATGAATAAACAAAATAGGGATGTAATAGGAAAGTTAGGCACGGTTCAAGAGGAACAATCCCCATTGTCCCAGCAAACGTCAATGAATAAGTTTTCAGGGCAGGAAGATAGACGGTCACAGTTGTGGGGAAAAGTGGATACGTTCTTCCCACCAGTAAACATGGTTTATATGTTACCGAAAACTTTTCGTTTGAAAGAACCTGCAACTGCAACAACTATCATCCCCAAAGCTGTTGCAGACACATTGGTTGTTCCTGAAGCGGCTTCATTTGTAACAGAACCACATGACGCTACAGTTGGTGGTATTCAGCTACTATCTCAAGAAGGTAAAGGCCCGGTCATAATGCTCTCTTAGCCAACTGAGAGCTCTGGGACTCACATTCGGCCATTATACATTTGCGCCATCATGGATGGAGTACCCATTGAGACGAGTGTTAGTGGACAATGGTACAGCAATTAATATCTTACCTACAAGAGCTTTACAGAGATTAGGCAAGCAACTCAAAGATTTAGTGCCAACTGAAGTTTTTGTCAGCGGAATTAAAGGAGACGTTACAACCGCTAAAGGAATCTTACCATTGCAAGTGCAGATAGGATCACAAGTGGTGGTATCGGCATTCTTTGTATTTGACACTAAAGCGTCTTACAATGCTCTTTTAGGGCGCGACTGGATCCATTCAGCAAGATGTATTCCTGCTTCATTACATCAAGCGATTATTATATGTGGAACAGATGGACCAGAAATCATAGCTGCCGATGCAAGTCCATTTACAGCTCAAGCTAATGCTGTAGAGGCTTATTATTATGACAGTGAAGTAGGTCCATACCGTTTTGTTCGGATGGACAAGTATGGTCGGCCACAACAGGCCACTATGCGTCGTGATATGAGTCTTCCAGAGTGGAAGTTGCTTTTACAAGAATTCAGCAGGCCATACAATTACAACATGTTAAGGCCGTTGCCAGCTGCTCCGTCTATTGAAGAAGTATCTAATTAAGACAATTGAACAGTTAAGTGTTTTGGAGACGATGGAGTTAGATCAAGAATTGTTGCAGGCAAAGGAAAAGCAAGTCGCCATCAAGCGTGTGTCGTAGTATTTTGAGAATGAGCGTCAGCATTAAACTGAAATGCCTACGGTATGTTCGGATGAAGTAATTTATGATGCAGATCCAGTTTCAGATAGTGACGTCATCGATTCGAATGAATTGGCTACTGCAACCCCAAAGTTAAGTGATGAGGCGGTTGTTACCAAAGAACAAGTTGAAGCAATAAACTTAGGATCATCTGGCGAAGAGAAGCCCACTTATATCAGTTCTTCATTATCCGCCGATGACAAGAAGTCACTAGTTGATCTTTTAAAGCAGTATCGTGATTGTTTCGCTTGGGACTATACAGAAATGCTGGGTTTAGATCGAAGTTTGGTAGAACACAGTATCCCTTTGAAAAAGGGTTTCAAGCCATTCAAACAACCGCCGAGGAGGTTTTCAGAAGATGTGGTCAACAAGGTGAAAGAAGAGATTGAACGTTTATTGGCGGTTGACTTTATTGAAGTTGCAGTACGTATTGAATGATTATCTAATGCGGTCCCCGTTATCAAGAAAAATGGCAAAACCAGGGTCTGCACGGATTTCCGTAACCTTAATCTAGCATCTCCCAAGGATGAGTATCAAATGCTGAATGCGGAAACATTGATTGACAGGTTGATGGGTTTTCAAGTCATAAGTTTTGTTGACGGCAACGCTGGATATAACCAAATTTTCATGGCTCCTGCAGATGTTCATAAGACTGCTTTTCGTGCGCCAGGATCCTTAGGCATTTTTTAGTGGAAGGTTATGCCATTTGGATTAAAGAATGCCAGAGCAACGTACCAAAGAGCAATGAACTGCATCTTTCATGATCTCATCGGAAAGGTTCTTGAGGTATACATAGATGATGTGGTAATGAAATCACATTCCTTTGGGGATCACTTACAACATCTGTGTCAGTGTTTTGAGCGTATGAGGAAGTATAAACTGAAGTTGAACCCATTGAAGTGCGCATTCGCTGTTTCCTTAGGAGTGTTCTTGGGGTTCTTAGTACACTCCAGGGGTATTGAAATTGATGTAGAAAAGGCTAAAGCAATCATTGAAGCTAGGCCCCCAAAGACAAAGAAAGAGTTACAGAGCTTAATCGCCAAAGTTAATTTCCTTCGCCGATTCATTTCAAACCTGTCGAAGAAGCTGAAACCTTTCTCTCCACTTTTGAAAGTGCAATCTGCAACAGATTTTGTGTGGGGTGACGCGCAACGCGCAAGGGGGGGGACCTTATTTTGAAAGTCGACATGATGAAGGCCTTTGATCGAGTTTCGTGGGGGTTTATGCATCAGATACTCTTGAGGTTTGGTTTTCACCAAAAAATTATTAATCTGGTAATGAGCAATCTAACCAGAAGTTGGTTCTCTGTACTTTTTAATGGGAGTCCAGTTGGGTACTTTCAAGCTTCCCGAGGCATTAAGCAAGAAGATCCGTTATCTCCTTACATCTTCCTTTTGTTATCTGAAGCTCTAACGAGGAATTTGCAAAAGCTCACAACAGAAGGAAGAATAGCGTTGTATGGAATGCCTGCTAGAACTGTTGTACCATCTCATCTCTGTTTTGCCGATGATTTGATTATCTTCACCAAAGGTCTTAAAAGTTCTATACAGCAGTTGATGATATTTTTTCAGGATTATAAAGATGCAACCGGCCAGAAAATGAATAAGCAAAACGAGTACTTTTCTGGTTTCAGAAAAAAGAGGGGTGGAACCTATTTCTTTGATTGAAGGGACATTGCAACTACAAAGGGGTGTTTTTCCTTTCATGTACTTGGGGTGTAAGCTATTCAAAGGTAGGGAAAAAGGAGAATACTTCCAACACATTCTTGATGCTCTTGATGCCATGTTGTCAAGTTGGAAGAATAATTTTTTGTCACAAGGAGGAAGGTTGCTACTTATTAAGCATGTAATATTTGCGATTCCTCTTCACACTCTAGCTGCAATTGTACCTCCAAAATCCATTTTTGAGAGCATCGAACGTAAATGTCAAATTTTCATTTGGGGTGAAAATGAAGTTGGAAACAAGCATCATTGGCGAGTATGGCGTAAGATGACCTTCCCCATCTCAGAGAATGGATTAGGAATTCGGAATTATTGGATATCACTAAAGCCTTTTCTATGAAATTGTGGTGAAAACTAAGGACTCGGCTTCCTTGAAAGAAAAAACCACGTGGACTAGAGTCAATTCAGTTCATCAACTCGCGCAAGCAAGGAGCACTCTAATCATTTGTGATGGTTCATCCTCTTTTGGCATGATCCATGGATGGACACAGGCATATTGCAGAATTCTTCAGAGGATCCTCCAGCATCAGACATAACAGTAAAAGATTTTTTTTCTTTCCAAAGATTTTTTCTTGATGGTCTTTGCAAGATTACTAGGCGACCAAAAGGTGAATCAGCTGCGAATTTTGGATTGCACATTTGTGGAAGAGCCAGACAGACTGGTGTGGAAGCCGACATCAACAATAATTTTTTCCATTGCATCGGCATATGAGGAAGCTCGCCAACATAAAGAAGAATTTCTTCTCCTTAAAACTCTTTAGAGTGAGCTCATACCTCTTTGGATCTCTTTTTTTGCATGGAAACTTTTTAATCGTTTACTTCCCTTTCCTGAATCTTTGCAAAAATTAGGGTTTGTAATGAGGCCTTCAAGATGTCCTTTTTGTCATGCAGATGAAGATACTATAGATCATATTTTTTATGTTTGTCAAAAAGTAATTTTAGCATGGAAATATTTTGCCACACCTTTTGGCATTCTAATTCCTGAAAATGGAGGATGGTGGAATAGCTTGCAAACTTGGCAGAAAATGGGGAGTTTCACCTTAGCAAAAACTTCAATACTAATGGTTATTCATGTTTTCCTATTATGGGAAATCTGGAAGCGAAGGAATAAAGTCATTCATGATGATGCTCACTTTTCTTTAATTTATTTGCAAAAAGCAGTAATGATTAATATCTCCAATATGTTAAGTGTACATGATTTGCAGGCAAGGACTTTAGAGAAATCAAAAGAGCTAGAAGATTTATTCAAAGTCAAGGTGCGAATGCCAAGAAGAAAAGCAGTGAAGATATTATGCTGGCAACCTCTGAACCCAGGAACATATGTACTAAATACTGACGGATCTGCTCTTGGACAACCTGGACATGCTGGATGGGGATACGTCATCAGAGGAGAAAGAAGGACTTTTATGTTTGCAGCATGCGGCAACATGGGGATTGCTACGAGTTTTCAAACGGAGCTTGCTGGAATTTTCCATGGACTCAAAGCTTGTGAAGAAAAAGAAATAAGTCAAGTGATCATTCAGCCAAATAATACCAGTATTTTTTCTCTACTACAACGAGGCAAAGATTTTCCCTGGAAACAATACATGCTACTAAAAGGTGTAAATGAAAAGATGCGTGCCACTAACTCAACAATCGTCCATATTTACTGAGAGGTAAACAGTGTAGCTGATGAGCTGGCAAGACATGCCTCAAAGGGGAGCACATTGCAATATCATTCTACGGGAACTCTTCCAGCGTCCTTGAGAGGTAAGATTTATTTAGATCGGAATAAATTTCCGTATTTAAGATTTAGATAGGCCTCAAGTATAGAATAGGAATTTAAGAGATGTCATGGGATTAATGTTTAAAATCTTTGTATGACCTTCTCTTAGTTTTAACTTTTTATTCTCTTTCATAGATAAGCAGGAACTATCAGGGGATAGGATCATAACTATCTTTGTAAGGCAGTTCATAGAAATACTTTGTTTGAGAACCGTCGTGGAGTTTTTAGAAAAACTTACTGTAAGACGGTGTCTTTTGCTTTGGGTAAGTCTTAAGCACTGCCTTTTGTAATTTTTTCTTTTATATTAATAAAATCGGGAGGATGCTCGCCAGGTGCCGTCCTGATTCTCTTAAAAAAAAAAGTATTTTTGTCATTTGACTTATTTTTTCCACTTAAATAATCAAAGTGGGCAACTGTTCACTGGCATAAGGGTGTTATTGTCTATTTGGACGTAGTTCGGGAGACTTTTTGTTCTTTTAAAACATGTCAAGAGGAGACCAGTTTTTAAGAAATAACTCGGGGGCTTTGTTCTTATCCCTATAATTATATGGTAAATGTTTTTTTTTTTGGAAAATATATCAAATGTGATCATCTGAAAAATAAAATCAACCTACGCTTAATGTATATTTTTGGTAAATATATCATATGGAATCATCTGAAAAATAAAATCAACCAAAACTTAATGTATCTAAACATAATTTCGAACTGTATTCGTAATATAATTATTTAGTTACTAATTTTTTTTTGTAACTAATCTCTTTTTATTTTTGAAAAATATATCTATAGAATGATCTGGAAAATAATATTAAGCCATGTTTAATGTATCCAAACTTGATTGCAAATTGGATTCATAATATAATTTTTTTGGTAAGTAATCTATTTTTATTTTGGTAACTAATCACTTTTTTATTTTTGGAAAATATATCAAATATAATAATCTAAAAAATAATATTAACCTACGATTAACGTATCCAAACTTGGTTTAGAATTAAATTCGTAATATAATTCTTAATTAGATCATTAATATTTCCTTATATCATATATTTGTTATTTATTATATTAATTATAGGGTGATAATATACATAAATAATAACCAATACGTGTTATTGACTTTTTCAAAATTAACTTTTGGTTAATTACTTAAATTTTAATTTAATAAGTTTACATATTAACTAATTAATTTTTAACTGTTTAATGAAGGAGAGTTTTGGTGATAACACATGGCACAATAATCCTAAACTTACTCTCTGAATGACACCTGTCGATTAAGAAATATGTTTTAATATATACTAGTGTTTACCCGGCAAATAATATTAAGCTCCTAGATACACCTTGCAAGGTGTACCTAGCAGTGCGTGTATATCATCCAAAGCCAAAA